GCCGGAGGCACCGCGCAGTCGCCGGGAGGCCTCGAGCAGCACCGGCCGGCGGCATTTCTGGGAAACGCCGGAGGAAGCGCGAAGTGTAGCTGGGCCCATCCAGAGCTCCCGGAGCGGGGAAACCCGCTCGGGACGGCGGGACCACCCGCGCGCGGTCTGGTATCGAAAGCCTTCTACTTGGGCCACACGTGCAGCCACAGCCATAGGTACTTGCAAAGGAAGTGACTTCATCTGGTCTTGGGGGTCTTCGATAAAGGAAACGTTCTGGAATCATCTGTGCCTTCAGATCATGTATCATCAGCACGCACCCACAAAACAGGCAAGATGAGCCAGTACTCTTGAATACTGACATCCTTTAAAGGACCACACCTCCATTTTGACCTCAAATTAAACTTGAAACTATGACCGGCCCCCCTCTTTTCCTGTTCAATCCTATTTTGGAGAAGAAAAGAAAGTATCTATTTGGTATTTAAATCAGTGAGTTGTTTTTGGATTACCAATTTTGTTTACTCAAAATATAACTTGAGAGTGAGACTTTTAAAAAGTTCCAGAGATGTAGTTGCTATATTTTTTTTTTCTTTCTACCTATACAACTTTTTAAAATGTGGTCATTAACCCTGTTAAAGCTTACCAAACAACTGCTACAATCCTAAACACAAACTTGAATGTTGTGTACAAGGAGCTTTTGGTGAAGTAGAGTATAAATGGGATAACTTATTCCCAAGGGCTGAATTAAGACTGTAATTTTTTTCTTCAGTTATTTACAGTTCTTGGAGACCATTTTAACTTCTAAGTTCCCTTTTGGATTTTTTTCTATTTTTTTTTTTAATTCACATTAATGTCAGCTAAAGCTTGGGCAACCCCAAGTCCAAAAGTAGATCTTCAAATGTGAGTTTAAAATATCTACAGCCAGGTGCTGGCCTGTAGTTCTAGCTACTTAGGAGACTGAGAACTGATGGTGGTTCAAAACCAGCTGAGCAGGAAAGTCCTGAAACTTTATCTCCAATTAACCTCCAAAAAGCTGAAAAGTGAAGCTGTGTCTTCACTGGTAAGCTCTAGCCTTGAACAAAAAAAGCTCAGAGATGAGCCCAGTGCCCTATGGCTCACGCCTGTGATCCTAGCTACTCAGGAGGCTGAGATCTGAGGATCAAGGTTCAGAGCCAGCCTGGGAAGGAAGTCTGTGAGACTTACCTACAGTGAACCACCAGAAAACCGGAAGTGGCTCTGTGGCTCATGTGGTAGAGCTCTTGCTTTATGCTGAAGAGCTCAGAGACTGTGCCCAGGCCCAGAGTTCAAGCCACATGACAAAAAAAAAGGGGGGGGGCTGGGAAGGTGGCTCAGTGGTAGAGTGCTTGCCTTGCATGCATGAGGTCCTGGGTTTGATTCCTCAGCACCACATAAGCACGAAAAAAAGCCGGAAGTGGCGCTGTGGCTCAAGTGGTAGAGCGCTAGCCTTGAGCTGAAGAGCTGAGGGACAGTGCCCAGGCCCCAGAGTTCAGGCCCCAAGACCGGACCCCCCCCCCCAAAAAAAAAAGGATAGTGCAGAGACCTTGAGTTTAAGACACCTGTGTGTATACACACACACACACACACACACCCATACCCATATACACCCATACCCATCCATCCACAGGATGACAGTAGATGATGGGGAACTGTGTCCTTTAGTGAAGCCATTATGCTTATACCCTATCAACCTCACTCAGGACTGTCTGATTAGGTTGTTCCAAACAGGTGTAATCTGTAAAAGGCTTTCAGCCCATCAGTGGAAGACCAAGGAGCATTTGTTATCCCTGGCAATTGAACATCTGAAACTGGCAATGTGATTTGTTTTATAAGGTGTCATAAGTGAACCTTATAATTGATTTATGATTAGCTTTATTTTACCATTTTAAAACAATGTGTAGCAGGTATATGGGAAGGGGACAGATGGACCCCTTAGAAGCAATGAAACCACTCAATGTTTTACTAATTGGAGTCATTGGTCTATTGGCTCACACTGACAACAGGAAGATTTTTGCTTTTTTTCTTTTCCTACAGGAGTGATAGCTTAAAAAATAGCAAAAAATTGTTGGCTCCTTTCCTGTCCTAAGCCTCCTGGAAGTGAAGAGCCAGAAGACTTAACACCAAGGCATCTGACCTGCTGTGTGATGAACCCTCTTTCCATCTGTCTTAACTCGTATTGTGTCCATGTCAAAGGTTGCTGCAATAAGAGAGAAAGCCATTGAGAGTCTAAGGAGCTAGACAGGGCTGGGAAGGTGGCTCAGTGTAGAGCGCTTGCCTTGCATGAATGAGGAGGCCCTGGGTTCAATTTCTCAGCACCACATAAGCAAACAAAGCCGAAAGTGGCGTTGTGGCTCAAGTGGTAGAGCACTATCCTTGAGCTGAAGAGCTGAGGGACAGTGTACAGGTTCAGAGTTCAAGCTCCACGACCTACCAAAAAAGAAAAAAGCTATACAGTATTCCCGCATTGTAGAAAAGTTGGGATAAGAAAATGAGAGCTTGGGGGCTGGGAAGGTGGCTCAGTGGTAGAGCGCTTGCCTTGCATGCCTGAGGCCCTGGGTTCGATTCCTCAGCACCACATAAGCA